GGCCAGGAGTTTGAGACCAGGCTGGGCAACACAGTGAGATCCTGTCTCTACAAACAAACAACAACAAACTTGAAAATTAGCCAGGCATGGTGGTGCATGCCTATAGTTTAGCTACTCAGGAGGCTGAGGCAGGAGGATCACTTGAGCCCAGGAGTTTAAGGTTGCAGTGAGCTATGATCATGCCACTGCACTCTAGCGTGGGCAACAGAGTCTCTTTAAAAAAAAAAAAAAAAGAAAGAAAGAAAGAATGATACCAAATCTATCTTCTTCAAAGGATTATTCAATATCAAATAGATTTGACAGCATGGAAAACTACTTTGCAAACTTGCAAATTACTAGCTAATGGCAAAGTATTGATCAAGAAAGATAACTTTTAACACCATTTCTCAATTTGAAAAGAAGTCATAATACTTCGTTTAGGTGGTTAGATAGATCGCTCATGGAGAATTCTAACAAAGAGCATTACTGAAATGTGAAGTTTTTCTGTTCGGTCTGCAATGTTTTATATGTGATATTTTGTTATAAACTTCACATTAAAGACAAACCTCATGGTGCCCCCTGGTGATGACTATTAAAACTTTTTCTCACTTTTGTCAGGTCATCTTCTTCAAGTGATTGCAGTTTGAAAAATAACTGGACTCCTGAGGGGAAAAGGAGCCAGAGAAAGAAGACCTATGTTTAAAAGATTTTTTTAAAAATTGTTTCAAAGGAACTATAAAACTCAGTAATTTACTTTCCTTTCTGTCGAAAGGACTCAATCACAACTACTTCAGAGACTGGGTTTTCTACCCTAGGGAAAGAGATTAGTAACCCTTTCTTCCAAGAAATCCCACTATGATATCTTACCCAAAGCCCTTCTGCAGCAAATAACTGTGTATTTTTTCTTGTTCCACTATCAAAAGTTATAAAGGCAACTGGTCACTTTCCCCCTTCCTATTTTGAATTCAGTGATGAAATTACCACCTACCTCCCCCCTTCTTTTTCAAAGCTAATTAATGCCAGTTTCTTTAATTTTTCTAATTTTAAATTCCTTTACTATTTATCCTTTTCTTAGGACCTCACCAGGGCCCACTTCAATTTTTAGAGATTTCTTAAAATACAAATTCCAGAGTTCCCACAGAGCAACACCCATATTTGTCCACCTGACTCTCCAGAGTTAGGAGCGAGTGTGGCCACCACGTTTGTTGAATTGAATTGTCATATAAGCCTCACATAGGAGAGATTACGTCTGCTGCACAGACAGTTGGTAGATAGAGTGCTAAAGAGTTCAGTGTTCTACGAAAGTATAATGCTTGAAGAGTGTCCCCCCAAAATTCATGTCCACAGGCAACCTCAGATGTGACCTTACTTGGAAACAGTCTTTGCAGATATAAGTAGTTAAGATGAGGTCATACTGGATTAGGGTGGGCCACAATTCATTATTCTAAGAAGTGAAAACAAAGAAATGTTACTTTAAGCCCCAGTTTGTGATACTTTGTTATGGCAGCCCTAGGGAACTAACACACCAAGCATCACTGTTTCCTGCACTAACTTAACAACTGGCAGTGTTTCCATAGATTGTCCACTGTCCACTACAGGCCATATTTCAGAAATGTTACTCTCCCACCGAGAGATAAAAATAAAAGACATTTTTTCAGATCATCCTTTTCCTCAAAGGCTTGTTAATTCAAAATCCGATTCTAATCCCAGCAATAAATTAAAATGTAAGAAAAAGTGACCATATGATAAAGAAAAGGTACAAGAACACCCAATCATTAAAAATTGCATATTTGAAGAATATTCATTTAGGGAAAGTACTCAATATACAATGTTAAGTGAAAATGAAAAAGTAAGATACACACTTATTTATGTAGTATAATTTCAATTTTAATTTTTTTAAGTGAGCATATAAAAATGAGATGTTTGAAGAAAATAATGAACAGTGATATCTCTGGGAGATAAATGTAAAGGTATCTTACAGCTTCTTCTTTCTGTACTTATTTATTTTCCACATTTTCTATAATGAATGAGTTATTTCTATAACTAGATAAATGCTACTTACAAAAGGAAAAATGAAGAAAGGGGAACTAAATGGGTAGAAAAAAAATTATCTTAAAATAAATCTTAATACCTATTCATTCAAGAAACAGAGGACACTTTGCAAATGACTAAAATAAAAAATTTGATATGTCTTAAATAGGAATTAGATATCAAATACCTTTACATGAGAACCTGGGAATGTACTGAAATTGGGCAATAATATATCAAATCATATCAGCCTCCAAGTTTTGCTTTCTCTCTACTGATCTTTCTACTATTTTTTTTTTTTTTTTTTGAGACAGAGTCTCACTTTGTTGCCCAGGCTAGAGTGAGTGCCCTGGCATCAGCCTAGCTCATAGCAACCTCAAACTCCTGGGCTCAAGCAATCCTACTGCCTCAGCCTCCTGAGTAGCTGGGACTACAGGCATGCGCCACCATGCCCGGCTAATTTTTTCTATATATATCTTAGTTGGCCAATTAACTTCTTTCTATTTATAGTAGAGACAGGGTCTCGCTCTTGCTCAGGCTGGTTTTGAACTCCTGACCTCGAGCAATCCATCAGCTTTAGCCTCCCAGATAATCATCAACTAGATTTAGTCATCTATCCTCTATGTCCATCACTTGTCCCATCATTTACCTCATCTATGAAATGTGGAAAACTTTGATTTTGAACATCTTGGACCAAAATAATTTGAAACAGTTGGACCAAAGCTCAGATAAATGCACAGATGATCTTATTGTAGAGTGTTTGCTGAAATTTCTGAAATAGGTGCTACAAAGATGGAATCAACTCAGATCCTGTCAAAATTATTTTAAATTAATGGGACCTAAGTAATGGTGTTTACAATTAGAAGTAAAAAGTAGAACAGAGGATACTAGAGGCTGGGAAAGGTAAGGGGAAAGGAGGGATAAGGAGAGATGTGTTAAATGATACAAAATTAAAGCTAGACAGGAGGAATAAGTTCTAGTATTCTATACCACTACAAGATGACTATAGTTAACAATAACATATTACATAGTTTTAAATAGCTAGAAGAAGGATACTGAATGTCCCCAACACAAAGAAATGATAAATGTTTGACATGGTTGATATACTGATTACTCTGATCTGATCACTATACATTATATGTATTGAAACATCACTATGTACCCCATGAATATATGCAATTATTATTTGTCAATTTAAAAAATGTAAACACAGAATCACTTTGTAGAAGAAACAACAAATTAATAGCACTACTAAGGTGAATACTAAATACAGTTTAGGAACATTTTTTAGATTTATTCATTTAACAAATATTTGAGTTGAAATCCAAGACACTGCAGGTATAGAGGTGAGAGTATTCCTTCTCTTTGGAAGCTTACCGTCTAAGAGCGAGGCAGACTTAAAAAAAGAATTACTCTATTATATGGCCCAAGCTACAGTGGTACCATGAGAAGTTTGCTTTGGAAGTCAGACAGGTATCACAGGACATGAAGAGTTGAATTAAGACCCCAAGGATGAATAAAATCGTGTAGCATTTTTTAGGTCAATAGTAACAATATCCAATTCTTACTAAACATTCAATCCTGTATATTTTTGGAAACAATGTGGTGATTCCTTTAAAAATTAAACATGGAATTACCACATACTTCAGGAAGTACACTTCTGGTTATATTCACAGAGAAACTGAAAGCAGAGACTAGAACAAATTTGTACACCCATGTTCATAGCAACATTATTCACAATAGCCAAAAGGTGGAAATAACCCAAGTGTCCATCCATAAATGAGTGGATAGAAAAAATGTGGTATATACATGTAATTGAACATTATTCGGCCTTAAAAAGGAAGGATACTCTGATCCATGTGGTCAGATGGATGAATTTTAAAGACGTTATAATAAGTGAAATAAGTCAGCCACCAAAGGACAAATATTGTAGGATTCTACTTATATGAGGCACTTAGAGTAGTCAAATTCAGAGACAGAGAGTAGATTTGTGGTTGCAAAGGAGTGGGAAAACATCCTATTTCAGAATATTTATATTATAGAAACTTCTTAAAATAGGTGCTACAAAGGAGTGGAGAGTTAGTGTTTAATGAATACAGAGTTTCATTTGGAGAAGGTGAAAAAGTTCTGGAGATGGTTGGTGGTGATACTTGTACAACAATGTAAAGGTTCTTAATGCCACAGACTCTACACTTAAAATGGTTAAGATGGTAAATTTTGTTATGAATATTTTACCACAATAAGAAGCCTGTATTTGTTTCTAAAACAAAAACTTGCACTCATTTTTTCATATTTAAATGGTCCTCAGTATAAAATATTACTCTAGGGGGTGAAAGGGACTGATATCTCAATTTGGAGCAGATTAATCAGAAAAACAATTCATGTATCAACAACTATTTATTGAAGATCTTCTGGATTGATGGGCTTCTCATTATTACCTTGAATGCTCAAGATGCTCACTTGGATATGAAAATGCAATATGAAAAACTGTCATTTCTTTTCCAAAAGTTAGAATTTGCCAAGATGAATGGTTTCTCGGTTAGTTGAAATAAAACAAGTTCAAAATTCATTCCCAAATGGAAAATGATGCATTTTTCATTGTTTATGGCTTAAAAACAACTAACAAAAGTGTCACCTTTGGATTAATTACAAGGGATAAAAATTTATGCTCTGGAAAGTAATATTTTCAAAAAGTCTGAGGTGACCAAAAGCAGTGTGTAATAACCAAAAAATTTAATCATAACTGATATATTAAAATATTTATGATAGCAATTAGAGTTCATTCAGTTCAAACAAGTTCAGCAGGCACAGAACACAAAGAAAAGCATGGGAGAAAACAGTTTTTGAAATTCTAAAACAAAGCAAAACTTTGAGTCATTTGTATAATTTAAGCTTCCAGTTACTACAGGTTTTACTGTCTGCTCATACTTTTCTATTCGCAATGGCATAAACAAAATTATTTTTCAATTATAATAGAAGTTGACTTTACTTACTCCTAATGGAAATATCTGAATAAGATTTCCAGCTATGTCTAGGATTCTTAGCTTTTTAAGTTCACAAATTTCCTGTGTCAGAAAACAAAAGAGAGAGAAAGATATTTTAAAATCTAACATTTAATATCATTAGTGTTTTTTTAAGCTCGAACTTGATGGAGGTGACCATCTTTTCTAATTGCCTACTCAATTCTTCAGCACATCTTTCCCAAGGGGATCCCTATGTCCTAGATATCTTTGAGTTCTGCATTTCCTCTGACCACTCCAGGGCAACATAACTTGGTAGCTATGAGTTAGACTACTTCTACATTCAAATCTCACCTCTGGCAGTTACTAACTATAACTAACTATGGGCAAATTTCTTAATTTTTTTGTACTTCAATTTCCCCATATCATTCCATTTGTAAAACGTAAATGTTAATAGAAGCCCCAACTTCCTATGGTTGTTGAATGGATTAAATGAGTCACTAAGCATCTGAAAGTGCTTACTAAAGGACCTAATATATGCACTCAATAGATATTTTGTATATTACTATAGAAAGAATTCTTGAGAAACAAAAAACAGATATAATCCTGGACAACTCCACCAGTATTTATTAAGCAACTACCTCTTGCTCAGCACTGTGCTATCACAACCCTTTCCTTATAAAGGAAATAAAATCTGTCACTGTCTCTATCTACATGGCCAATGTGACTCTGCATTACCATAGTAACCACCTAGTTGTTATGGTGCATCTGGATTCTGGTATTTCTACTAGTAAGCAAAGAATAAGTACTTTTCAAAACCAGAAACATCAAAAACATTTCAAAAATTGAAAGCTATTGGTATAACTTACTAAATCGTCCCAACCACTCGTAGAGGTATTTCTGAAATGTCACTCATATTTTGATGGCCAAACCTCTCCGTAGGGAGATGGTATGTCTCTTTAGTCATGACTACTGTTTTCCTCTTCAGTCTTATCGCATGTTATCATAGGTTGCATTCTCTGGAAGCAGATGCTGAGATGGAATTTGAGGGACTAGAGGTTTATTGGGGATCTACTCTGTAAGAGACAGGGTCAGGAAGCAAGACTGGGCAGATGGGAAGTTGAGGTGGGATCCAGACTCAGTAAAACCTTGTTCAACTGAGTGGGGAGCTCTAGAATGGATGTTGCCCATCCAAGTTGTTCTCCATCAGGCAGAAATGGCCAAGCCTTTAGACCCCTTCCTTGCTCTGTCACAGGATGTGGGATGCTCTAGAAAAGCATGACCTTTTCCTAGAGATCAAGAAAAGAGCTCTCTGCAGCAAAGGCAGACCCTAAAAGAGCTGACAGCTGGAGGCTGTCTGCCATCACCACTCCCTACAGCTAGGCAGCAAGTCCTTGAAGGGGTATCTGCTGTGTACCACACGTGTGCTCCTCTTCTTCAGTCTTCCATAGTCTTCCATCGCCATCATATGCGCCTTAGCATTGTATTCGCCACAGAGATGTTCAGACTCTCGATTTGTTCTCTCAGTATCCACGTGTTAAGATATAAAGACTTCTCACTCTACCTGAAAACACTTGGTAGCGTTCCTTCTGTTGCTGTTGGCTCTTCTTTTTCATGTGTTTGTTATTGCTGCCCTGACTGCTGCTGTTACTGCTGTTGATATTTTTGTTACTGTCTTTTTTTTTTCTCTTTGCATCTGCACATTCCCCACAAGTCTTTAATGAAGGATTAAACAATTACAAATAGGCCATAACTAAGTTATTGCTGAGAATGATAAGTGTTACAAAGGGTTAAGAATACAGATTTATGGGGAAAACAATAGGACATTTGGTATTAGAAGGTCAGAAAAGGCTTCCTGGAAAAAAAAAAATAAAATTTAAGCTGAGATTTTTTTGAGATCTTTGGGGCGTATAGTGGTCCATTAAGAGGAAATAGTTGTTTGGGATAAAGTATAAGTGTGATGTAATGGTTGTCAATTTGACTAGAGTAAGGAAGAATCTAGAGAACTGGCCACACATTACTTCTGAGTGTGTCTGTGAGAGTGTTTCCAGAGGTGACTGGTTTGTGAGTTGGTGGACCAAGTGGGGAAGATCTGCACTCAAAGTGTTTCGGCACCATCCAACGGGGCAGGGATCTGGACAAAAAAAAATAAATGGCAGAGGAAAGGTGATTTCCTCCCTTGCTCCTGGGGCTAGGACACTATTCTTCTCATGTCCTTGGACATCAGAGCTCCAGGCTCTCCAGCCTTTGGACTTTAGGACTTAAACCAGTGCCCACACTCTTCCCCACCCAGGTTCTCAAGCCTTTGGCCTCCAACTGAGAATTACCCCATCAGCTTCCTTAGTTCTTGGGCTTTCAGACTTGGCCTGAGCCACACTACCAGCACCCCAAGGATCTCCGGCTTGCAGACAGCCTGTTGTGGGACTTCTCAGTGTCCATAATCATGTGTGCCAATTCCCTTAGAAATCCCTTCTTGTATATCCATTGATCAATGCAAATGTCTTACTGGTTACATCTCTCTGGAAAACTCTGACTAATAATACATCTAGTATGGCTAAATCACAGAGTGAGCAAAAAGCACTAAGGAAGGAGGAGGTCAGGTTATGAAGGGCCTTTTATGAATGCCATGTGTATTAGTTAGGATTCTTTAGGTTGCAAATGAACAGAAACTCAACCCAAATTGACAAATAGGTAAATTGACTAGGTAACAGGGAAATTAAACAAAAAATGCTGACACTATATATGGCTGGTTCCAGGTGCTCTATAAGGTCATCATCTCTTTCTATTGTGGTAACATCATTAAAGTTAGTCCCTCCCAAAGAGTGGCAAGATAGACATCAGCATATCTGGACTTACATTCCTCCAAGTTATCAATCCCAGAACAAAGAATAATACACTTATTTCTGCCAGTCCAGCAAAGTTCCATGTCTTTGGCCTAGCTTAAGTCATATGCCTATCTTCAAACAAATCACTATGTCCTGTGTGATGGAATATTCTAAATGGCCAGTCCTGGCCTGACCAGTGGGTCACATCAGCACTAGGCAAACCTTACAGATTAAGGAAGGGAAGATTTCACAACATCAAATCATGACACCATTGTGGGAAGAAGCAGAAATGGATGCTTGGTAGACAAAACAACACATGTCTGGTATGCTGTGTTGAAGAGCTTAGATTTCATATAAAGCAACCATATATTTCATGTCAACTATATACTGGGCACTGAGTTAGAGGCTAGTATTCACTACAAAAAAAGAGTTTTCAGTTAAATTTAGGAAACGCTTTCTTAACAAAGTCAAGCAGCTTTAATGCAGGACTTCTCAGTACTTTAAAAATGCTAATATATTTTGTGAACCTCTAAGAAGGAGTTATAGCACCTTAGTCAGTTTGGGCTGCCATACAAAGTACTGCAGACTGACCAGTTTACAAACAACCGAAATGTACTTTTCACAGTTCCGGAGGCTGGAAAATCAGGTGGCAGCATAGTCAGGTTATGGTGAGAGTCCTCTTCCAGGTGGCAGGGTGCTGACTTCTTATTGTGTCCTCACATGGCCAAGAAAAAGCTAACGATCTCTCTAGGATACCTTTTATAAGGGCACTAATCCCATTCATCAGGGCTCCTTTCTCACGATTTCATTACTTCCCAAAGGCACCACCTCCTAATATCATCACATTGGGCATTAGGATGATATTAGGAGGCAGAGTCTTTTTTTTTTCTTTTTTTTGAGACAGAGTCTCACTCTTATAGCCCAGGCTAGAGTGCCATGTGGCATCAGCCTAGCTCACAGCAACCTTAAATTCCTGGGCTCAAGCGATCCTCCTGCCTCAGCCTCTCAAGTAGCTGGGACTATAGGCATGCACCACCATGCTCGGCTCATTTTTTCTATATATGTTTAGTTGTCTAGCTAATTTTTTTCTATTTTTAGTAGAGATGGGGTCTCACTCTTGCTCAGGCTGGTCTTGAACTCCTGAGCTCAAACAATGCACCCGCCTCGGCCTCCCAGAGTGCTAGGATTACAGGTGTGAGTCACCACACCCGGCCTATCCTTTAACAATAATAAATTGTTGGAGGAGACAAACATTCAGTCCATAATGGCATCTTTTACCACATATTTTCTCAGAGGAATATGCAGGACTCATGCTCTTTGGAGAATACTTTGGGAAATGATGCATTAGGCCATATGTGGATCATTCTTATTTTAGCTCCTAATTACCTACCCTTGTTTATGATATTTGAAATTCTCTGCTGGTATTTTCAAACACTGCTGCCATTATGACCAGCCCACAAATCTAGCTACCTTATTTCTACAGCAACAAGAAGTAGATGTTTACATTTCCGTAGTGTGATTCAAATGTATACCCTGAATTATGATTTTTCTAATACCCAGTTTCACCTGTTGAATTACAGTTTCATGAAGGTTGGGTCTTAAAATTAAATAGAACCCTTCTTGATAAAAATTAAAGTGTTTCATATACTGTCTCTTTTAATTCTTCTACTTAAAAATACATATCCTCAAATCCAAAGAGATTAGCCTTCCATGACCTCACCTACCATAAAAGTGTAAAAGTTTTGTCTGAAGAACACATTGATCAGTCTCAGGTTCATGTTTTTCTCAATGGGTTATTTGTTTATACTCCATAACACGTTAGAGAAATGAATGAAGTGCATGATCTACTAGGAGTGGGATATAAAATATAAACACAAAATGCACATTCATGCAGATATACACATAATTTATAATGTGCTAGCAAATGGTTCATAATTTGTTCTTTATCAAAACAAATGAGCATTTTCCATAATGCCTCATAATTTATAATGCGGACCAAAAATAACAATGATAGATTGAATCATATTAAATGTCTAAGGATATAAATGATCATAGGTATTATTTACATGAAAGTTCAGGATAGAACTGGGTAGCATTTAAATTCTTAAAATCTTAAACTTCTTGGGACTTATAAAATTATAGTAAGAGTAATGACTTACAGGACAGAGCTTTAAGTCAGACAGACATGGGTTTGGACCCCTTTCCTATCCTTTATAAACTGTGTCCAACTTATACAACCTCTCCATTCCTTATTCTAAAATAGGGATAAGAAGAAGATCCGTGACATAGAGTAGTTATGAAAAATAAATGATATAATGCTTCATTGATGCTGCTGCTGCTGTTGCTGTTGTTATTATTTTCTCCTCAAACAAAGAAGTTAAACTTTTAATAGATTTATTTTGTAATTTCAAGATATTTTCTTGCTTATAGAAATTGGGATGTTAAGGAACTTTTTTTTTTTTTTTTTTGAGACAGAGTCTCGCTTTCTTGCCTAGGCTAGAATGAGTGCCGTGGCATCAGCCTAGCTCACAGCAACCTCAAACTCCTGGGCTCAAGCAATCCTCCTGCCTCTGCCTCCTAAGTAGCTGGGACTACAGGCATGTGCCACCATGCCCGGCAATTAATTTCTTTCTATTTATAGTAGAGACGGGGTCTCGCTCTTGCTCAGGCTGGTTTCGAACTCCTGACCTCGAGCAATCCGCCCGCCTCGGCCTCCAAAAGAGCTAGGATTACAGGCGTGAGCCACCGCGCCCGGCCTGATGTTAAGGAACTTAAGAATAAAATTTTGAAATATACTGATTTATAGCCTCCCACTTTGGCATAGTTTCACAGGTCACATTACAGAATGTGTATATATAGATTTTTTTTTTTTTGAGAGTCTCACTCTGTCACACAGGCTAGAGTGCAGTGGTGCAACCATTGCTCATTGCAATCTCAAATTCCTGGGCTCAAGGGATCCGCCTGCCTCACCTCTCAAGTAACTAGAATTTCAAGTGTCCACCAGCATGCCCAGTTAATTTTTTTTTTATTTTTTTTTTATTTTTGTAGAGACAGGGTCTCACTATGCCCAGGCTGGTCTCAAACTCCTGACCTCAAGTGATCCTTCTGCCTCAGCCTCCCAAAGTGCTGGGATTACAGGCAGGAGCCATTGCAGCAAGTCAGAGTTTTAAAGCAAATATCCTCCTGAGAGAAAAAAAAATGAAACCATAGGGATTTTCTATTTATATGTGTACTCTATTGATTTGCTACTTTTTATTCCTCAATTTCCTATACAACATGCATTACATATCAAATTAATTCTAATTTGCATAAGGAAGGAAGATAAATCCATTGACAGGTTCCTAATAGGAAAGCACTCTCAAACTGGGAAATTTAAGGAGAGTTTAATAAAAGTTTGGCCAGGTTTAGGGAATGAGGTTCCCTAAACCAAGAAAAGTGGTTCCCTAGACCCACAAAGTTCCCAAAAGCTAGCAGCAGGGAATTCTTTACATCACGGTAGGTCAACAGAGGGAAATTAATAAGAGGATCACCTGATATTATCTGTAGCCTTCCAGAAAGGCACACAGGCAATCCACAGCACCCTGCCAGAGAAGGACCATGGGAATGCCATGGGGTACTCACTACCCTTTCACTTCCTGCCCTTTCACCTCCTGCCCTTTAACTTCCTGCCCTTTCACCTCCTGCCCTTTAACTTCCTGCCCTTTCACTTCCTGCCCTTTCACTTCCTGCTAGTGCCTCCCATTGGCCATATCCAAGAGGAAGCCAGAGGACGGAGGAGCTCACTGATACCCATACAGTTCAGACTCCCCGGCACAGAGCAGGAGGGAGAAGGATGGAGAATGGATATGGAGGGAAAATGGAAGAACAGAATGAACTTGTATTTTGTCCTGTATATAGAGTTTCCAGATAGAATGTATCACTTAAATTTAAATCTCAGACAAACAATGAATAATTTTTGTATATGTATATCTTACATAATACTTGGGACCTACTCATACCAAAAAAAAAAAATTTATTCATTGTTTTATCTGAAATTAAAATTTAAGTGAGCACCCTGCATTTTTATTTACTAAATCTGGTAGCTCTAGCTATGTAAAATAATCGAAATTTGAACCTCCCTCTGTCATAGGGATTCGGGAATTGACTACATCTAATCTGAGGGAAGGCAAGTGATGGCTGCACTCAGATAACAAAACCTAATCTAAAACCACCTCCCCACCATATTGAAATGAGTTCTCCCCCAACAAGAAAATAATGTGACCCCAGGTTTTGCTTACCTCTGGCAAAGTTTCAATGTCGTTACAGGCCAGACAAAGCTTCTGGAGCTTCTTTAAGGACCCAATCTCTCCGGGTATGCAAATGAGCTTATTGTGGTTAAGTTGAAGTTCGGAAAGATTTCTAAGGAAACAAAGTTCTCTAGGAAGGCAGGCTAGCCGGTTATGATTTATACTCAAATACTTAAGACGTTTTAATCTAAAAAAAAAAGTATATGAATGAAACTCACAAGAATAAGGAAGTCCATTGTTTAGGCACAACTTATCAGAAGTGAGGTGTCTATTTTTTGTAACTTATCCAAATCTTACTTCAATCAAGTGTTTATAACTACTGTAAATCATTTGAGCATAGAAAGTCTTTGCTGAAATTTAATTTTTAAACATATTTTGTAATCAGGTGGTTTATGTTCAAAATATGCTATATAACCAAAACCTAGATTTTAAACAAAGAAAATTCTATTTTTCATTCTTTATGCAAACACATTGGCCATGAGGAAGCTAAGGGACAGAGAAGGACATAGACATACATATGCATACGTACACGTGGATATAGATAGATATAAGTATATAGAGAGAGATACAGATGCATCCAGTACCATATAGATGTGAGTACTGTTTAATTGCCATGGAAGTTGCAAAGATGGACCAGCCAAAACTTTCACTCTTTTGGATATCATGGTTTAGAAGGAAATGCCATAAAGTGAGAACAGAAAATGCCTTGGTTTGGGAGGAAAAGATTAAGGAAATTTGAGTCTATAATTACAGATATGGTACCTGAGGTAAATCACAAGTTATTTGAAAGAACTGACATTTTGAATTTGGCCTTCAATAACAGAACTTCTAAAACAGGGCAACCAGAGGGAATAGTAAGCTAGGAAAATGTTATGAATAAAGAAACAGAAGGGAATTAACACTACCAAGCACCAACTATGTACCTGTGCATTAGATTTAATCATCAGCGTAACTGAGGTTGGAATTCTTACCCTTATTTTATTTTATTTTATTTTATTTTATTTTATTTATTTATTTATTGAGACAGTCTCACTCCGTTGCCCTGAGTAGAGTGCTATAGCGTCAGCCTAGCTCACGGCAACCTCAAACTCCTGGGCTCAAGTGATCCTCCTGCCTCAGGCTCCTGAGTAGCTGGGACTACAGGTGGACACCGCCACGCCTGGCTAATTTTTTTCTATATTTAGTGGAGACAGGGTCTCGCTCTTGTTCAGGCTGGTCACAAACTCCTGACCTCAAGTGATCCTCCTGCTTCGGCCTCCCAGAGTGCTAGGATTATAGTTGTGAGCCACCATGCCTGGCCATTACCCTTATTTTAGAAATGAGGAAAATAAAGGATCAGAGGTAGTTGATACCTTGTCCAAATTACCTATCTAGTAGGTAACGGTGTCAAAATTCACATGCACTTGTGTCTAATTGTGAAGCTAAAAGTAAAGATAAATAATGGCCTCAAGTTTGAAGTGTGTTGAGATTGAAGTAATAACTGAATGGGGGTTGAAATTTTTAGGCAGTTGAAAATGGGAGACTGGAAGGTAGAGGAGCGATTAGTGGTAGTGAAGGGAAGTTAGGGCGAGACTCTATTGACACACTAATAGAAGCCACTTGAATAGTGAAGACTGACAGGAAGGACAACGGAAGAAAAAGGGTAGGGAGCAGAAAGAAGAAGCCAGTGGAAAGATTTTTGAGAGAAATGAACACCTGACCATTAAAAACTAAAAGCACCCAGAGAAGTCATGAGCAGAGAAATAGAAAAAGAACCAGGGTTGCAAGGAATTTCTAAAGATGTGGGAGAAGAATATTTCAAAATTAAAGAGATGGTCAAAAGTTTAAATGTTAAACAGAGGTAATTCAAATTAAACAAAACTAGCAGAGTTAAAAGCAGGGTCACAAACTACAAAGTCAAAAGCTCCATGAAATTAATAAAAGACATGAGGCACCTTCACAATGAAAACTATAAATCATAATTGAGAAATTTAAAGGGGCTCTAAATAAAAGTAGAGATACATTATGTTCATCTACAGAAAGAAAAAAAATATTGCTAAGATGCCAATTTTTTCAATATTGATCTGTGGATTCAGTGAGATCCAAATGAAAATCTTAACACTTTCTTCTGTATAAAAATTGACAAATCATTTTAAAATTTATATGGAAATCTGAAGGAGCCAGAATAGCTAAAACAATTATAAAGAAGAACAAAGTTAAGGGACTCACATTACCTGACCTCAAAGCTTACAATACAGCTACAGTAATCAAGATAGTGTGGTGTTGAGAAATGATGGGGCTACGGTCTGAAGATAGACACAAAAATATACATAGATATAAGATAGACATACACACACACACACACACACACACACACACACTACATGATTCTATTTGTTTAGTTCTAGGCCAGGTGAAACTAATTTGTAAAGATCAAAATCAGAGTATTGGTTGCCTATGGGAGGTAAGAATTCACTAGAAGTGTGCATGAGGAAATTTCTGGGCTGAAGGAGATGTTCTGTATACTATTGGTATGTATATTTGTCAAAACTCATTGAATTGTACACATGAGTTTTATGTGATTTTTATTCAGTAGAGATAAAAGGCCACTAGATCTGGCTACCTAAAGGACATTAGTGACCTCTGGAAAAGATCTACAGTAGAATGGAGAGGGCAGAAAAGCATTTGCAAGGGGCTAGGCAGAAAGCAAAAGCAATAGACAGACAGCACTTTAGAGAGAAACAGGAAGCAAGAGAGAAAGGGAAGAAATAGACCAATGGACATTAAGAGGCTGAAAGAAGGGAATCAAAGGAGCTTAAATTTCTCAGTAAAATAGTGAGTAAAGTTGTTTGCAGAGTCTAGAGGGTCAAAGGAGGACAATTCAGTATTTAAAAGAGTGAAAAAGTGTGAGATCCTATAGAGAAGGGGATGGGGAATTTTCTTCACTAATCATTGTTATAATCATTACTTTAATTGACTGTACTCTGGATTACTATATTGTAGGAGTTGGCTTTCCATTTTTCGTTACTTCAAGGCATTAAACCAAGGTCAGAGCCCATTGCTCATTTGTCCATCATTTGGGTGAGTAAAGAGGAAGAGGAGAAACAAGTATCTGCCATTGTTTCTGTTTCAACAAGGCAGGGAAGACTTACTACTTTTTGAAAGGAATACTATAGGAGATGTACTAGCAGCTTGTTTCTGTCCTCTGTCCTCCCCAGGAGGTTGAAGAATAGCTTCACTGATGGGTGAATTTGGAGAAAGAACTCAGCCTGTTAGCTTAGTCCCTTCCTCTGTCCTTCTCTTTCTTTCAGAGAGATTCTGTCCCCTGGATGCCCGCATTCTCCTTCTCTTCCTCTAGTTGTGCAGCTCTGCTCATGACAGAGTTGTTTAGTGGTAAAACTTCACCTGCCCAGGTTTGACTCCATGACCATGAACCAATACTTTATAGTTTAGGCAAGCCAAAAAAACCCAAAAAACAAAAACAAAACTCCTCTCTTCTCCTCCTGAGTTGTGAATAAACTGAGAAATAAGACACAGGATTCAGAAATCAAACTTAAGCATAGAGCTGCCATAACCACTCTCAGACTCCCTGCTAGTCCTCCTCTGAATTAAATATACCAGCCCATCACAGCCTGCCCTGCTGAAGCAGCTACTTCGTTCATGGCAAGGCACAAGGAGGACGTCAAGCCACGCATGGTCAATACGTCTCCCACATTCACCAAGAAGACACTTTTGTCTCTGGTGACAAAAGGACTGAATGAGGGGGACAGAAAGAAGCTACAATGAAAATAACAACCAATCACAATATTATAAAAACTAACATCCACTGAGCACTCACTCATCCTTACTATCTTTTATGTCCCAGGCTGAACCCTAAATACTTTTTATGGATTAAGTACCATTATCATCATCATTTTGCATATGAAAACATTAAGGTAATGAAAGGTGAAGAAATTTTCCCAGGGCCAGAAAATGGAATTTTGCTCAGGGAGATGACCAATCACTTACATCTGGGAAACAGAATATGAACAACCCAGAATTATAATATTAATAACTATAAAACAGCATGGACCTATTATGTACTTTGCAATCCCACTTTTTTCAGTGAAAGCTTTCATTTACTTTTCATTTACTTCAATACTTCTAACATATTACCTCAGATTTACATGATTCTTTGAATATTATATTTTGTACTCCAAACAGAGCTAAATTTACTAAACTGTGAAGTCATAATATGTTATAGCTACAAGGACCTTGAAGTTCATCGACTCAAAATTTTTCCTTTAAAACTGAGGTCCAAAATCATTAAATTATTTGCCCAAAGTCACAAGATTCGTTGCACAAAGATATGGCCTGAACCTCATTCCCCAGATCTTCCAAGGTATTTTTTTCTCCATTATATCATCATCAATACATATATCAATTGATAAGCTGAATAAGTGAAAAAGTAAGCAGACATCTGTTGGCATTTTCATTGTCGTAAATACTTCTCTTTTACAGAAATTACATCAATTCAATTTTTTTTTTATAGTTGCTCTGACTTAAAATATTACTTTCCCTGTAAAAATCTATTTTGGAAAAATAATGTGTTGGCTAGAGGTAGAGGCTAGTGAATTGGTATAGACTTTAGGTGGGGCAGAAAGCCATGTGTTGAGGACTGTTCATAGTTTTGTATTCTCTGTTAAAACTCTGGATGTTCTTTCTTCCACAGTAATACATCTGTTTCTGTACAACAGGCAATAAAGAGTCTCCAAAGTAGACCTTAGAAGAGTTCTCTCTCCAGCTCTCAGAGGAAAAGCCCAAGAGGGCATTTTGCCTACAGAAGGACAAGGCCCTCAGCTGGCTGCAGAAAGGAACTGTCATGGCAGCCTACCTGTGCAGATGTGCAGGTTAAGGGAAAACAGCAATTTTTTTGGGGGGGGGGCTTAATGTCAATAAAATGTGGGGTTTTGTTTTATGAAAATGACATCGTAGTTTTCAACCCCTTGATTTTATATTACCTTTTCCATCAAGTTCAAAAGAGACTTTATAACTCTCATGTGAAATAAAATTTAATGTTTCCAGTTCTGTAGCTGAACAAACTCCAAGAACCCTAGAGCCGGGAAATCAATAAGACCGCCAACTTTAGAACTTGATGTTTCAAACCCTCATGTTGACACTTAGACTACCTAGTCATGCTGTGTCTCATTTCTCTGAAGTGTTTAAGGAATCATCTGCTTAAAATTAGTGGCTCGCCCCAGTCCCTCAGATCCCTCTTTGCTATGCACAAATCCCACCAGGGCTAGATGCCAGGCACAACGCTTTCAGATGACCCGGGTGGAGATTGGGGGAGGCGTGATGTTTTAGCCAAGTCTCACTATAAACAAAATTACCTGCTGACTTCTTGAGGAAGCCACGTAAGCTGATTTTTGTTCAGATTAAGCAGGATCAAATTTTGTAAGCCATCTGTTAGAAAATAATTTGAGTCACTTTAGCCACCTGTTAGATAATTTTTAGTCACTTTTCTAAACACCTTTGTTTTTCTTCTGGTTTCTTGCCTTGGCCAAGAGTCATTTGGTTGCTGGGAACAGATACCTTCTTAAACTAGGTCAAACAAAACAGGAGAATTTTTTTCCCCAGCCTCCAGAACTATGAGAAAAAAGAGGGAATTTATCACATAGTTAAAAAGCTCAGTCATGGTTCCCGAGGACAGAGAGTACAACCAGGCTCACCACAAACCGGAACCAGAAACTAAAAGGCACCCAAAACCCAAGAATGTACTCTTCTTTGCAGAATATATCAGTTAGTTTCTCATTACAATTTCTCTCAGTTTCATATTTATATCTTCTCACTACTCCCCCATTCTTTCTCTTTTTAACATATCTGCTCCATTTTTCTATGTATCATAACCATCCCACAATTCCTGAGTTTGCATGTTCTGAGACAGCAGAGAGAGTTCTCAAACTCAAATGCCTACTGACACCAAGTCTGTTGTCACGTAGGAATGTGATTGCAGTGTTCGCTAATCTTTCTTTTTTAAAATAGGCCCAAAAAGCCAGAGATCCAGACTTTTATGTGAACTCTCCTGATTTGAAAATCTGGGCACTTAATTCAAAGTTTTTAAAAGGCTGAGAAAACAGAATCAACCTGTTTATGAACCAGATTCAGCCCATCGGCCACCAGTTTGCAACCTCTGTCTCAGGTCATGAGATCATCTCATACCTATTAAACTGTTTTAGACTGTATCACAGTCCCCAGGGAAGAAAAAATTCAGCCTGGGACCCATGTATAGCCCTGTCAATCTGCTCTGGGCAGGGGACAGGGGCATGTCATACTATGTGGCTATACAAATCCATGCTGGTCAGCATTCAACTCCCCAACATCAAACTACTTCTGCCCTTGGATAATCAGGAGACTGGACATAAAACATTATTTATGCCAATCACATGTGATCTTCAAAGTTCAAATATCAAAAAATATAGGAATTAAAAACCTTCAAGGGCATTGTGCACAGATTTTATATACTCATATAAATATAACTGTAGATACAGATACAGATGTAAATCTAAATATAGGTATAGAGATATATATACCTAAACTGTTATCTCAAATTTAAGGGCAACATGAGGAAAAAAATTCCTTTAGAGCCTTAAATTAGCATAAATTAGGATGCTCAATATTGTTTATAGGCATCAAGCTATGCTTAATTTGATCCCCTCAGTATAGGCCATGGAATATTTTTGTATATTCAATTACATGGCTTTAATTTTTTTTATGTGTAAGTTGTTTTCCTCCTAATTGTAATTGGACTCTAAGCCTATGGCTTTGTGTGTATATATATATATATATATATATATATATATATATATATAATCTGCATAAGTATCAATAATTGTTTCTTATAGTTATTATTTTGAGAAAGAATATTTTTCCAAGATAGATGATCTAAGATTTTAAAGTACCTTTAAAGAGATGGTACTAGACATACATATTGAGTGCGATGTGCACCATCTAGGGGATGGACACACTTGAAGTTCTGACTTTGGGGGGAGGAGGGACAAGGGAAACATACATAACCTAAACATTTGTCCCCCATAATATGCTGAAATAAAAAAAAAAGAGAGGGATGGTACTAGAGTGTGTTTGTGCTATTTGCCAACTATAACCCCTAATTTAATGCTGTATATGAGCATGCACTTATTAAATTCTGGTTGAAAATGACAATGATTATATATAGCACTCATGCCTCAAAAGCTCACAGAAATGTATAAATTTTAAAATATATCTCTAGTTGTACCATTGGGGACCAACACATGACGTGGTAAAGTGCCTATGTGAGCTAATAAAGCTATAAAAATCATGTGGATCTCTTTATCCTGCATCTGTTCTTAAACCCACTTTACCTGGATTGAACAAGAAGAGTGTTATATTGAATGAAGAAATTATTAGTTTACAGAAACACAAAGAAAAGATCCTTATTGGATCTCATATCTTCTCTTTAAAATTCTCCCCAAATTGATTTAAATTGCGCATCTTGATCAAAGATTGTGGCAGTATCTGAGACAGAATAAAAATTGAAAAGAACAAAGAGAGCTGGAGAGTTTTCCTTGATTCGATTTTCAAATACAATTCTCTCTGGCTCAAAAAAGGGGTCTCAGATTCAAGAGTCTGATTGCACACTGATTCTGTAAAGTGGAAAATAATTAACACTAATGCTTAACTTATTTTTGTAGGTCTACATATACATATATATATGATACAACAATTGGAAAAAAGGGTTGCCTTCAAAATTCCTTAATTTCAAAAGTAGTATGTAAATATCTCCAACAACAAAAAAATAGATTAAAACATGTAAAATTCTTTTTCATTTCAGTCCTCTTGTTTTTGTTTTTTTTTTCAGGCAGGGTCTTGTTTTGTTGCCCAGGCTGGAGTGCAGTGGTGTCATCATAGCTCACTGCAACCTCAAACTCCTGGGCTCAGCTGATCCTTCTGCCTCAGCCTCCCTACAGCTGAACTACATGAGTGTGCCACCACACCAGCCTTATTTTTTATTATTATTATTTTTTCATAGAGACAGGGTCTCACTATGTTGCCCAGGCTGATCTCAAACTCCTGGCCTCAAGCTATCCTTCTGTGTTAGCCTCCCAAAGTGCTGGGATTATAAGTATGAGCCACCGAACCTAGCCAAGGAATATAGCAAATTAATAAAGATTCTTTTTTTTTTTTAGATATTGGATCTCCCTCTGTCACCCAGGTTGGAGGGCAGTAATGCAATTGTAGCTCACTGCAGCTTTGTGTTCCTGGGCTCAAGCAATCCTCCCACCTCAGCTTCCCACCTACAGGCATGTACCACCTTGTCAGTCCCATATTATTAAATACAAGGAATTAAATTTGACACTATAATGTTGCTCTTCTTTGACTAACTTACCACATGCTCCAGGTGCAAATCTACCGATTCTGTTTCCAAATAAATGGAGCTTCTTCAGGGTTGTAAGATATTTCATCTCTTCTGGAACTTCTTCTAAAAGATTGTTTCCCAGATTTAGTGCTGTCAACTGCAAACACATAGAGATTTAATGCATTCATACATTATTCACCTTCAAATGAAAAAAAGAAATAATTTAAGCTCCTTTGCTCAGAACTATGTAACCTAAGAAAACTTCAAAATAATCTTAAAACAATGATTTTACTTATTTAACTTACACCTAAAATTATCTTTATAAATAAAGTTCGTTTGAGCATCATGCTCACTTTATGTTAATTAAACCACAATTTAATTTTTAATTAGAGCACTTAACTTCATTAAAATTGTATTACAAACTATTCCACAGATGTTTAAAAACACAACTGATATGAAAAAATAAATAAATAAAATAAATTTAAAAAATTAAAAAAAATTAAAAAACAAAATAAAAACACAACTGATGATCCATTCATAACTCACTTGAGCAACACAGGAGTATCCTAACATTAACTCATAAAATCAAACCATTAAAAACTCAGCAATGGGACTAATTTCCTGAAATCAGAAACAGAGCCAAATATCTGAGGTCCTCCTGGCATACTCCTCCCAAATGAGCTATCTCATTTAGGCTGATAAGACTACTCTATAATGTGGATGGCGGGGGGCATTAACTTGGATGTCACTCTGTGTGGTCACAAAGTTTACAAACGCAACTATGGAAATGGTCTAAGTAGGGAAGAAAAGATCTGCCCTATACATACCTGTTCTACAAATGACAGGTTGGTCAGATGTAGGATGAACTGCACAACATAAGGAGTTAGAAAGTTCATCTTTGCTGTTGAAATCCAATAAATCAGTGATAAAGGATTGTTCTCTAAAACATGGTAATTTTCTTTGATGTGAAATCTAATTGTAATTTCCAAGATACAAAAAGAGTCTTTTCTTTCACCCTCAAACATATTTTGTCATTCAAATTTAATTCCCAACTACAAACTTTAGAATTTTAACATTAAGTATAAAAGAAAAGAAATCATGGGAGTTTTAACAAACTAAAGAATTTATATAAGACAAGAAAAATAATTAAGGAGAAAATTTAGGCAATTTACAATTTCTATTTAAATGTCACCTAGTACTTGTTATAGATGTATGATAATGATTTAAATTAATATAAAGAAATAGACATAGATATATTTACAATAAAATTTCTTATCCTATGAATTCATGGTAAAGGTTTTATTTCCATATATGCTTTTGTCTGAGAATTACCATTATCCTATTTTTAAAAAGTACAATACATCTACCATCTTGGAGGCCTTATTCCATTGTAAAGATGAAGTTAAAATATATTCCTGTAGCTATTGGAATGAAAAGACTTAATCCAGAGGTTGTGACTGTATTAGTGTCCTATCACTGCTAAAACAAATTACCACAAACTTTGTGGCTTAACACAGCACAAATTTATCTTATAGTTCTGGAGATCAGAAATCAGAAATGGGTCTCACTGACCTAAAATTAAGATGTTGGTAGGGCTGTGCTCCTTCCTGGAAACTCCAGGGGATGATCTGTTTTTTCGCCTTTTCTGGCTTCCAGAGCCTTCCTGCATTCCTTGGCTTGTAGTCCCCTTTCATCTTTAAAGCCAGCAATGGCTGGTTGAGTCTTTCTCAAAGCACATCACGCTGATGCTGACTCTTCCACATTGAAAGACCCTCATAATTACACTGGGTCCACCCAGATATTCTAGGGTCATCTCCCCATTTCCAGGTCAGCTGACTATCAACCTTAATTCCCCTTTGCCACATAACCTCACATATTCACAGGATGTGGGCATCTTTGGAAGTCCATCCGTTATTTGCCTACCACAGTGACTATTTGAACTTTCATTTCTCAAAAGGAGGTAGATTTCAGTTTTTGGTATTAATTTAGTGAACAGTACATAGCAGTCAACCAGTGCTGAGAGCCCAGAACAATCTATGTGAGGACTGGTGAGATACGCAAGAGTGTCAGGTATTGTGAAATGTCCCAGATTTTATCCAACTTGCAAGCTGACAAGTGAACATGCCACAGTTTCATGAATACCAGTAGAATATATGAGATCCATGAGAAAGAAACAAAAGACAGTTTATTAATTAGAGTAATAGCAGTGTCCAGAATATCACTGTTTTTCACAGGCAATACAAAGGAAGCAAAGAGATACTGAGATGTGAAGTGGATTATGTTACAAAAGAGGAATTGTGAGCTTAGGGACCCTGAATCTTTTATAATGGGCAGTAAGCATGCCTGCCTTTTGCTCCACGGGGAGACACTGTCTCTAACTTCCAAGGCTGTCTGCTATGTAAACATCCTTGAAAAGTTAGTCCAGAACAAAGGCGGCCTGGCCTGTGTCTCTGCTTATGAGATGTGCAGAAGTGTGAGAGACTCATAGTGAATTGTCTCCCAAAAAAGAGACAGCAACATATATATTTAAAGTAAATAGGTAAAATTAAACAAGAAACAGCTTGTGATTCCCACATTATTTTCCATGTATTTCTGAGGACACAGAATGCATAGTGTTCATTTTGCATATTACTGTAACTTCTCATCCATGAGTTAGATATATTTTTGTCCTTGTGCTTTATAGAATCTAAGGATAAGGCCCACACACATGAAGATAACACAGCAACTTAATTTCATAGTATATCAGAGGGAAATCACAGGATATAATCAAGTTTAACTATAAAGTGGGTGGGTTTCGGTTTTCATTTGGTTTTGGTTTTTTGTGGGTTTTTTGTTGCTTAGAAATACATCCGTAAACAAATAATGAAAAAAATGTGGTCTAATCTACCCATACTCTAAATGAGCATATATCCATCTTTAAGGAAGCAGCAGGTGGGTCACTATTGACTCACTAAAAAACATTCATTGTATGGATAAGACTCATTAAAAAACATTCACTGTATGGATAAGACGTGTAACATCTTTGCCTTCAAGGCACTTATTCGGTAACAGTAAGAAATTAATGAATGACTAAGAAAATTAATAACAACAATAACAGGCAGTAATTAGGTCTCTACAGGTAATTGAAAGAGTGAGGAGTGTAGTGACTGGTTGATCAGGAGAGCCTGTCTTAAAAGCTGAGATTTAAGCTGAGATCTGAGTGACAACAAGGAAGAAGAAATAGCCAAAATAAAGAGCCAAGAGCAAGAACATTCTTGGTGAGTCTTGAGAGGTGGCTGATGTGACTAAGCTAGTGGGTAGAAGGACACTCAGCAAAAGTGAGGTTGGACTACATACCATGTTTCCCTGAAACTAAGACAGGGTCTTATATTTATTTTTCCTCAAGAAGACACCCTAGGGCTTATTTTTGGGGGATGTGTTATTTTTCCCTCAAAGCCTCAGCTTGCAGCAGGTACAGGATGGCGGGGCCTTGCCGGGGGGGGCGGCCTTTTTTGTTGGGGTTGCCGGCCCTTTTCTTTTCCCTTTTTGGTTGTTGGTTTTCCCGTGGGGCAGATGAGAAGAGCTGCTCGTCTTCTTTACTGCTCCCAGACGAAATGCATGGGTTGTGCATATACACTGCGTAGCCACGCCCATCACTAGGTCTTATTTTCGGGGTAGGGCTTATATTGCGCAAATGCTCAGAAAACCTGATAGGGCTTATTTTATGGGTAGGTCTTCTTTTCGGGGAAACACGGTACTTGGAGCAGATTATGCATGGCTTTTTAAACCAGGGTAGGGGTTGGGGTTTCACTTAAGTGCAGTGAGAAATGACTGCAGGATTTTAGGTAGAAGTGTACACTATTTGACATGAGTATTAGCAGGACCACCCTGGCAGCTGTATGAATTAGAGTCTGCGGGGAGAGTAAGAGGTGCAGCACAGAGAGCACAGAGACATCACTGCAGTGGTCCAGGTGAGAGGCTACGGCATGGGCTAGGAAGGTGGTCTTAGAGGTGGACAGAGATGTAGATGGGTTGGAGATATGCTTTGGATAAAAAGACAGAAGGTTGTGAGATGTAGGAGAAATAGAAGAATCATTGATAACACTTAGCTTTGGAACTTGAGTACCTGAGATGGGGAAAACTGAAACAAGGGCAGTTTGGGAGGAGGGATAAGGAATCAAGAGTTTTGTTCTATCCATGTTAAAATCAAGATGCCTGTAAGATCTTTAAATGGAAATGCCAATGCAGTTGTAAATGCAATTCTAGAGTTCTCTGAAGGAGTCAAGACCACAGGACAAATTCATGAGCCTTCAATAAGTAAAAGGCACCATGTGGGATTGTAAGAGATTGCCGTGGATGAGAGTGTGGGGAGAGGATTGAGCCTAGAAGAGGAAGAGACCAAAAAGTAGTTGTCAGGAAAGGAGAAAGGAAGGACAGGGCACCTGTATCCTCTGGCAAACCAATGCCTTTTATTGAGCCACTGCTCAATAGTCAGCTACTGTGAATTTTTCCTGTTGAGGACTTTCTCCTGCATCCTTCTCAGAATTTCCCTTGACTGCAAAGAGGAGCTTACCTGGACGTGCACGGGAGGTTATGCCTCTACTTGATCCTCCCAGACAGCCTCTAGCCCAGGACAGATGCAGGGATATAACAGCCCAGTCCCCCCGCCCCTGTAGTGCCAGACAGGCTCCAGAGCTCTGATGGGATACAGCTGAGGCTCAATTTCTCCTGAAACCAAGTCTTTGGTCTCTCCTGAAACCTTGGGTCTTTCCCCACCCTGTCCAGATTCCCTTACTCCCTTACAGGTTTCTCCTGAGAGTACCCAGAGCACAAAAATCTGTTTCAGGATTTCCAAGAAATATAGTGTAACAGAATCCAAGAGGAAAGAAAAGGAAAAGTGTTTTAAGAAGAAGGAAGTTGTGGGTCAAATCCCAGGGGTAGGTTAAGTAAAATTAAAGCATAGAAATAACCACTGGATTTAGCAATAGGAAAGTCATTAGTGACCTTGAAAACAGGGGTGAAGTGTTGGGAAGGAAAGTCTGTTTGAAGTGGGCTGTGGAGAAAATGTGAGAAAGCAAACACAATGACTAATAGATGATTCTTGTAAGAGCTTTTGCTATGAAGGGGAACTAGAAAATGAGGAAGAAGCCGGAGGTATTTTTCCCCTAAGTTAAAAGA